TATACGAGTGGTGTCGCGACCATAGAGTACACCACCGCTACTCCGACACCGACGCCGACCCGCACAACATTAATCGGGGTTTCTTTTTCGCACACATGGGTTGGCTCATGTGCCGAAAGCACCCCGATGTTATTGAGCAGGGTAAACTGGTGGACATGAGCGATCTGGCCGCTAACCCCGTAATTAGTGTACAACGTAAATTTTACGTGCCTTTAGTGGCGCTAATATGGGCCGCATTTCCCACATTAACGCCGTATTATATGTGGGGAGAGGGGTTGTGGGAGGCGTGGTTTGTGTGCGTAATGTTCCGGTATGTTTTGATATTGAATATAACATGGTGCGTTAATAGCGCCGCCCATTACTGGGGCTATAAGGTAGTAATTAATTTATTTGTCATGATTTGTTTAATTGTACAAATAATGTTTCTGTGTTATTAATAGCCATACAATAAGACCATAAATCCCGTGGAGTGTAATATACGGCACGTGATGTTTGGCGAAGGGTTTCACAATTATCATCATACATTTCCATGGTAATCATTTTATGTAACTACTTTATACCCTAATCATAATTATTACCGTAGTATATAAATCTATAATAATAGTTTTTAAAATACATTTATAATAAACTAATTAAATAAATAATTGATAATAATCAATGATTATTTAGTCTAGTATGTTATTGATTGATATCTCGCTAATTAAGTGCAGTGATTAATTAGAAAATTAATCTGTTAATTGTAAACAAATCTAACCCCGATCACACATTCAGGGACTATAAGGCGAGTGAATATGGTCCATTAGATGGGTTCAACCCGGCCACAATATTCATAAACACGATGGCTGTGTTGGGTCAGGCGTACGATTTGCGTCAACCCTCAGCCGATATGATTGGAGATAGACGTAAACGTACCGGTGATATGGCCAACAAAAATTTGAGCATGGTCTGGGAGATGTGCACCGCGTTGGCTACTGTGCTAATTATTATGTCCCCATTACTGATTAGACTTACGCAACCTTATTAAATTATCGTGTAGTATTGTTATTACTAGATTGTTTTTAAATTATGATAGGGATGTCGTAAATATCAGATATTTTGTAAACCTATTAATATTACATTTAATTGTGTGTTTGTTTTAATAAAGAGTAAAATTGATTGTTACATGTATTTATTTAGTGAACCCATCATTACCCGCTAGGCGTAAAGCACCAAAACCTTTACCTACTATTTGGACACCAGTTTATACTCAAATATCTGAAGGTAACAAATTTATTGATAGTTATATGGGTAATTTAACATTGTGTAATAATATTCTTAATTTAAATAAACTAGTTTAAACATGTATTTAATTTTTAACAATTATAAATATTAATATGTGATTTTTTTGAGTAAAATAATTAAAAAAAATTAAAAAAATTATTGTGTTTGTGAAAACACAATTAAATAGTTTGCATATGTTAGATTTGCGTCATTTATCACCTTGTTGATATTTTTAACACAATTGTAAATATTGTTATGAATTATTTCTCAGAATTTATTAATTTCAAATATATAATATTATTTACAATGTTGTTTGTTGTAATAAATATTACCATATTGTATATAAAAAATTGTATAATATCAAAACATTTATAAATTAAAGTTTGACGCATATTTTGTTAATATCATTCGAAATATGACACATTTCAAAAAATTATTTTTAACTTAAATAATAAAATATGTACCGCCAGCGCCTCCTGGAGCTCCTGGTCTCCTCCAGCGTTTCAATCCGGTGTCGTTCTTTAGGAGCGACTCGTCATCAAAGCGATAGTTCTTATCAATTCGTAGTCTTATCAGTAGTTTTATTAAAACATTTAATCAATTGTTATCTCTCTCTTTGAAGGACACCCAAACGTGTATAAAAGGGTGCCTTCTCTTACTGTAACTTTAGAGTGCTTTAGGCTGTAGCCAAATAAACATAACATTATTTTAACCAGTGTTGGTCTCACTGTTAGAGCACTGCTCTCACCGCCGGCAACGAACCCGAAGGGCGCCCTTCGAGTTACTACGAGTAGCGACAGAGAGGATCTGTCGGTTGCCATTTGGTAGACGACGACACCGTCAGCCGACGGGCAGGTGAGAGCGCGACAGGAGTACTGTCGCTGCAGTTGGTGTGTGTGAGCGCGTACGGAGTGTTCACCGCCGGCTGGCCGGAGAGGATCCGACGGGTGAGAGCATCACCAGCGACCGCCGTGGAGTGAGAGTTTCACTCACTAGTTAAGTGGAGACGTGGTATCAGTTCCGACGCTCGGAACTGCCACCAGCGAAGAGTAAGAGTAAGAGAATAGGAAACAGTTGCGCACCGATTCGGCCGTCACTCTACACGACACCAGTGACCGCCGCAATACCAGAGACAACGGGCCAAGTCTCGTACAAATATATTTAACTTGTATTATTTTATAAAATTGTATAATTGATATTTAATTGATACTGACAAATATTTAACATTTAAATTAATATTTGATATAAATAATTGTTTTTACTTTTTAACAACAGATTTTTTAAGTCATACATAAATAAAATTTGAAATTGTTATTGTAATTTCTGTTGCCGAGGCATAATCTTTCAGTTATCATACATTTTAGTATGTTATTTTAATTAATAATTTTACCATTGAATAAATTAATAGGCTGTTTGCATTTTATTAAAATTAATTGTAATAAAAATAAAGTTATTACATACGTTATTAAACATTAACAATATTTATTTAAAAAATTATTACAACTAAATAGATAAACTTTATATCATACTCAATAGTTTTATCATGAATAAATTGAACCTCCATGAATTCCAGTAGAATTCAATTCAAAATTAAAAAATTTATCAATATAAATTAATAATATTAGAATAACATAATGTTGCAATAAATGGGTCTGAGTCTAGCCCCGGAGTAAATAACCAATGACAAATGGAAATGCTAACACACCAAAAAACAAGCCGACCGTGCACAATTCATAGAGCCTACTACTTTTGACCCAGCCCAAATCGCCGGTACGTTTTTTACGTTGATCAACCATCTCGGGTGGGGCCCGACGCAGGTCGTACGCCCAGCCCAACCATGCAAAAAAATCAATAAATAGTGTGCCCAGGTTAAATACTTCAAAAGGACCGTACTCGCTGGCCCCATAGTCCCTGGTGATTATTCAAATATATAATAAATTAAAAAATATATCAATGTTGACAAATAAATTTTAAAAGCTAGTTACCATGGAAAAGCGTGATGATAATTATGAAAACCTTCGCCAAACATTAGGTGCCTTAAAGTACATTCTGTGGGGTTTATAGTGCTGTCGTACGGCTGTAACAAGTATATAAACATATTATTTTAATATGACCTAAACAGCTAAATTAAAAATATACCTTGTAGCCCCAATAGTGTGCCACAGAATTAATGCACATGGCAAAATTTGAGCCAATTAAATACCTGAGCATTACGCCCACAAAATAAGAGTCACATAAAGTCTCGCCCCATAAATAATAGGGTATTAGAGTTGGTATAACACCCCATATAATTGCCACTAATTTCATATAATGGCGCCGATGGAATTGAACAAGATGGTTCCGGTCCAGATCAGTCATGTCAATATGTGCACCTTGTTTAATAACATCAGGGTGCTTTTTGCTTAAAAACCAGCCCACGTGTGAGAAAAAGAAACCCCGATTAATGTTGTGCGGGTCGGCGTCGGTGTCCGAGTACTTATGATGGGTGCGGTGATCACGTGACCACTTGTATATATGGTCCTGAAATGCCAGCGTAAACATTGCCATCAGTATGTATTGTAGGGCATGATTGGCCTTATATGTCCGGTGACACCATAGCCGATGCACTCCACACTATATTGTTTGATTTGTTTAATTATTATGTTTGATTAAAATTGCTTATACGTATTATTCTGCATATAGTTACAACTTTTGTTGAAGTTATATCTGAGCATTTTAGAAGTAAGTAATTTTTTATTTAAATTTTGTGTGCAATTATATGAGAGTAATACGGGTATAACAATTTAAACTAGATAATTTGGTTATTGCATATACAATACCTGTACACCCAGTCCAGCAATTATGGCCATAACATACATGTAGAGAATGGTGATTGGTTTGGCGTAAAACATGCCCCGATATAAGCCGTATAAACCGGCCATGTACAATATGATCATACCCACAACGTTGGGCCACCATATTATTTTGACCTTATGAGCTTTCTTATAGTTGCTATGATCGTGATTGAATTTGTCTGTTTTTAATCTGACAAGTGAGTAAAAGTTTTTGAATAAGCATGTGCACTTAAATTAGAATAATGTGATCATACTTAATTTCCGTGGTTTGAGTCTCGATTTTGTTGTTAATGCCATTTATTGAGTATTTATTCAACAAATCGTCTGTGTTATCATCATGATCTGTTTTTTAAATTACAAGTAAAGTTTTTATTTCAAAGTAAATATAGAGAGCCTTTAATATGAAAAAGATTTTAAATAGGTATTACTAATGCTAAACATACAATTAGAGCCCATGGTCACTTTGTTGTACATGTTTGTTAAGTCATCTATGCTAGATAAAACGGTAATCACCATTTTATAAATTAATTAAAGTCAATATACTGTATATTAAATTTTTATAGTCTTTATTGTATTTTATCACTGTTTTACCAACTTATATTAAACACTAATAGTATAGCTCAGTTTATATAAGTTTAAACATAAAACATAATTACCATATAAATAAAACTGAGATTATGTTAATAAAGCTTATGCCGTTTGACGTAGTTTTTATGTAATATAATAATTATTTTTTTATAAACATGTTTAGAAATAATAATTATAAGAAATTGACAATATTTTGTTATTTTATTTAAATATACAGTAAATTTACAGTTAACTCTATCTAATCAATAAATATTGTTAATTTTATTTACAACATTTGTTATAAATATTTATTAAAATATCAACAAGGTGACCATTTGCGCCAACCAACAATATACAATGTACGTAAAAGTAAATTTAGCATATTTACAACAACAAGATAATTTAAAATCTTTATATTATTTAATAGAAAAAGTCAAATAATATTTACTTAACATAGTAATTGAATATCAGATTAAAACTGGTTATAACAATTAAATAGAACTAGTTTATTTAAATGTTAAAATTTTAATAATTACAAAATAGTTATTATGTATACATATATATCATTCGTATAAAAGATATAAGTTTTTAATAAATTTCAATTCAATAACATTAAAAACATCCCTTAAAATTTTTATATAAATTAACTGGCTATTAAACTGGCTCGTATAAATAATTAAATATATATTATTTAGTAATATTATAATATAAAATTATTTTGTAACATTTAATAAATATGTTGATAGAAAACGTGGTAAAGTCGGAAATGTTGGGCAAAATCCCGATTAAAGAGAAAGTTACTCAATATGTATACGACGGCCAGGACTTGATTACCGACGATCAGAAAAAGCGTTTTAACGGTAAATCACCATATTTTCTATATTTATAATTTAATTACACATACGTTATATGAATAACCAAATACATTGTGTTATATAAAGCATATTTAATGATATTACTAACATATTTAATTGTAAATCATCAAAATGGTTTAATATATACTTGTATATAATTTTAATTGATGTATAATGAATTTGAATTATTTTAAAATTATAAATAATTATTATTACAAAACAGAAACAAAAAATATTTATAAATAAATAATCAGTAATTATTAATTGCTTAAACTTTAATAAATAATATATGACCAAACAATCACGATAAACGTAATTAAAAGGTTATGCCCTATATATAGCACTATTTGTTTTATGATGTATGCAAATAGAAAATGATGATACGACTACTGATGAATCAAACGGTACCATCGATCGGGGGCAAATGTGAGATCATGTTTATTAATTGAAATTAATTTAGATAATATTTATCATAAATGATGAAAATGGCAAATAATTTCAGTAATGATGATGATCAACTTTTGATGAACGGCACCAGTATTGACGACTCAAATGTGAGATCATGTTTATTAATTGAAATTAATTTAGATAATATTTATCATAAATGATGAAAATGGCAAATAATTTCAGTAATGATGATGATCAACTTTTGATGAACGGCACCAGTATTGACGACAAATTGCAACTTGATCAAAAGTTAGAGATATATTGGGTCAATGTAATAGCCTTTGCGATATTGCACATGGCAGCATTGTACGCAATTTACGTTGGCGTGACCCAGGCCAAATTACTAACACTGCCCTACATGTATCTGGTGGGCCAACTTACATCATTTGGCTTTTCGGTATTGTTTTATAATAGCATGATGGTTTCTATCTGACAAAAATAATCTCAATCTTTTTTAAATTATATTAATTGTGATGAATGATAAAGTAATAAAATATAGTAAATATCTAAAAATTTAAGTAAAAATTGAGCTGGTTGTAAAAAAACAAACACATAATACTGTAGGCATTATTCTATTATATTTCACTTGTTTTACTGGTGAAAATAAGTTACAATTACAAATTATTCTTTATATTACCACGATAATTTAGCATATTTAGAATGTTTATATAGAAACAATCATCCATAGTAAACACTTTTGCCTTTCCTAAGAAGAGGTTGCACTGTATATCCAGAGTTTTTCTGATACCAATCAATCTCGTTTAATTTAAAAACAAACAAACAGTGCGGAGCGCATAGACTATGGACGCACCGGTCGTACAAAGCGAAAGCACCGCTACAATACATACTCGCCTTTCTATTTATGATGAGCTTTCAGCACAACCTATACAAGTGGTGTCGCAACC